GTTCACGCTTCTCTGTCTTCTTTTTTTTTTTTTTTTTTTTTATTTTTTTCTCTCTTTTTTATTTCTAAAAAAAATTATTATTATTATTATTTTGTGTTAATCTATCTGTGTGTATTTATGTGAATGTGAAATTTAGATATATAAATATATGTTCTATCTATATAATATTCGGATAATAATAATAATAATACTATCTTAGCTTGAATGTTTTATTATAATAATGCTTTCGATTACGTTACGTCGACAGTTACCGACTATCTACTGCTATCTATTCGATGTTAGTTTCTTTTTTTTTTTTTTTTTCAAAAATATTAATAACTCTCCTTTTACTTTCTTTTTTTTTTTTCTAATTGTGTATCTTCTTTTTTCGATGATGATGATAATAATAATACTAATCAATAGCATGTTTGTTGTCTTAATGTAGTATTCGATGGGAAAAACAAACGAGACAAGTGTTGTTGAGTCTAAATCCATTTGTTTTCACCTGTTAAACTTGTAACAATAAGAAAAAAACGTATTTACTATTATTATTATTATTGTTAATAAGAATGATAGTTGATAATAACCATTAAAATAATTATTAGTTGAAGGGGGGTTTTAAACAAAACAAAAAAAAAGGAAAAATCGTTAAGATAAAAATGAACAAATAATTAATCATTGATCGTTAATAGTAAATCGTTTGATTTTTGTCGTTTGTTTGTTTGTACGTAATTGTCCGATTAAACATTTTGAAATTTATATCTTTTGCAAATGACAACCAACATGAATCGTTTAGAAAAAAAAAAAACGTTTTGTTATCGTAAACCATTAACGGAATTTTCTGAAAAAAGGTTTAAAAAAAAAAAAGTAGTTTAATAGGGTGGGGGCGGGAGGTGCAACCGGAAACTACATAACCTTTGATGAGATTTTATAAAGGAAAAAAAAGGAAAAAGGTTTTTAATGTCAAACTGACGAAATCGTAAACGAATAATAATACAAATAAATCGTGGAAGGAGGGGATTGGGGAGGGGGGGTGGAAAGAAAAGAAAAGTTTTCTTCCACGTTAAAATTCATATGATGACGTCACTCCGTTATTTCTATTCGTCATGTTATTATGTATACATGTTTTTGTTTAATAAACAACTTTAGGGATCTAATTTAAATAATCATCATCATTATTCTCATTATTATTATTATGTTTTCTTTATTTTTTGCGATGATGTGAAGCATTAATATAAAAACGTGGTTAAAAAATTTTTTTTTTTTTTTTTTTTTTCTTTAGGCGAAATATTTTTTCCGACATTTTTTTAAATGTTAATCGTGTGTGTTCTTATTACAATAAAATTTTTAATTTAATTCTTCGATAGGTTTTGCACGTATTGTATTAGTTCTCCGCCATTTTTTTTTCTTCATTTTATTTTTCTGCGAAATCGGCAGTTGGAAAATTTTTCTCTTATTCCTATATTTTCTTCTTCTTCTTAAAAATAAAAGGAAAATTCGGTCGTATCGAATTTTTTCTTTCATAACTTTTTTTCGTAATTTATATTTTTTGTGGAATGTTTTCTTCTTTTATTTTTTTTTCTAATATCACGTTTACTTAATTATTATTATTATTATTAATAAATTTTCATTAAAATTAAGTAAAACTCTTTCAAATTTTATCATTCGTGAAAAATTGATCGGTGAAAACACCGTAAAAAAAAAAATATGCGGTATCAAATAAAAAAAAATATATTTATTTAAAATTCTTTTCGAAACGTTTATTTCTAAAAAAAAAAATTTCTTTTCTGATTACACGCCCACATTTTATTATTTTTTCTTATTTATATTATTAATAAAAATATAATCGATTTAATTTTTATTTTATTCGTACACGAAATTTTTTCTTTTTTTTTTTAGAAATAATCGAAAGGAAAATAATATTATTTTATTAATAAGATTCGATTTTCTCTTGTGTCACGAAAAAAAAAAAAGAATAAAAATTACATTTTTATTCTTTTTTTTTTCAATTAAAATTAATTTTAAAAAAAAGGAAATAAAATTTTTCCGCGCGAAATTTGAAATTTTTCGTGGTTGGAAACTTAAAAGAACAAAATTAAAAAAAAAAAAAATTTTTTTTGCTTTCGTCATCGATTAATTAATTTAAATTTAACGGTAAATTAATTCGAATGTTTATTTTTTATTGTTTTCTGAACATTTAAACAAAAAAAAAAAAAAAAAAACGGACGAACCGCAACGGATCTTTTAACCTAAAAAAAAATCAAAAATCAAAAATCAATGATCATTTGGGAGTTTTGAGTTTTTTTTAAATTTATTATTATTATTATTATTTCGTTTTTAAACACGAAGTGATTTTTATTTGTCGGAGTTTTTAAGCATTTAGCATTCAGGTCCCTACCTGATTCCTTAGAATTATTATTAAAACGTAGAAACAAAAAAAATACGAGGCAGTTGTTTAAAAAAAAAACAAACAAAAAAAATGCGGGCATAATAAATGACGTCACAGTCGGAAATAAATAATTAATAATGGCGAAGTGTTGATTTCACGTGGGAAAATAATAATAATAATAGGAATATTTCGAGGTCGAAGGTTAATTTTATTTTAAAAATTTATAATTATCTTTTAGAGTTAATTTTATACGTCGTTTCATCTCTTATCGGTTTATGATTATTCGATCGTCATTTTGGAAAAAAAAAAAAAAATGGACGTTAACGTTTATTTTAATCCTCTCTTGATCTGTTTTTAATTATTTTTTTAACCACGGATGCTCACGCACACACGCACATACGCACATACACACATAGAGAGAGAGAGAGAGGCATAAATTTTAATTTAATTATAAAATACGCGAAGCGAAAAAAAATAATACGGGAAACGAATAAATTTCAAAATGGAAAAAGCAAAAAAAAAACAAAAAAAAAGAATAAAAATAATAAGAGAAAAGGTTTAAAAAGGCTTAAAAAGGAACAAAAAAAAAAAAGAACAAAAAAAAGTTAAAAGGCTGACCTGAGAGAATGAATATGTTTAATTCGATAACAAAAAAAAAAGAGGGGATTCATGTTTAACTTATGAAAAAAAAAAAACAAAAGGTTTCGATTTGAATAATTTGACGTGGTAGGTACGAGAGAGAGAGAGAGAGAAACAAAGGGAAAATTCTTTTCTTTTTTTTTTTTAAAGAAAGCTACAAGTATCGTTTTTATAAACTTCCGGAAATACACTTACTCGGTTTTCTTTTAATAAAGATATTTCCGGTACGTTTTTTTTTTCTTTGGGGGATGAGGGGTGTGTGCATGTGTGTGTGTTTGAGCACGTTCAAACCATAAAAACGCAAACGTCGCACAAATAAAAATAATAATAATAAAAGTTTAAAATTTAATAAATCGGCGAGTTTTCTTTTTTTTTTTTTTTCTCTAAAAGTTGGTTTGTTTTCGATTTGTTATGTTGCACACCTGAAAAAAAAATTAATTATAAAAAAGTTTTAACGACGAACAAAAATTTATGAAAATTTAAAATATCGCGTTTTAAGTTGTTTTTTTTTTCTTTTTTCTAAAAATAATTTTTCTAATGATATTTTATTATCATTATTATTGCTATTATTATTATTATTATTATTATTATTATTATTATTATTATTATTATTACCTTTTTCTAAAATTTAAAAAGTTGAAAATTTTTTTAATGAATTCGTGAGAATTTTTTCGTATTTTTTTCTTTTCCAAATAAAAATTATACGGAAGTAAAAAAAAAAAAAAAAGAAAAAAGAAATTTTAATAATAAGTTTGACAAAGAAAATTTTGTTTCTTTCTAGAAAATTCTCTTGCAACTTTCGATTTTTTTTATTTTATTTCTCCTCCTCTTTCTCCTTCTCCTCCTCCTTCTCCTCCTTCTCCTCCTCCTTCTCCTCCTTCTCCTTCTCCCCCTCCTTCCCCTTCCCCTTTACTAAAATTAGGTTTTTACTTTTTTAAACGATTTTATTTTCTTTCCTTTCTTTTCCTTTTTCTTTTCCTTTTTTGATTGAAGTTATATTAAAAAAAAAAAAAGTGGGAAAAGAAAAAAAGTTTTTGCGGGTCGTAATATTATCATCGGTCATTCTGAACACGAATTTGATCTTTTTTTTTCCTCAAAAGGTTTCATCCCATTAATCAAAAGACATTCGAGAAGGAGGGAAAAAGAAAAAAATTAAATACTTCAACTGCTGATTTTCCACAATTTTTTATTTTATTTTATTTTTAAATTAAAAAATTTTCCCACGTTTATTAACAATTATAACTTATTTATTAAATTTTTTTCTGTTTTAAACAAAAAATTTATGGCGTTAGAAAAAAAAAAAAAAAAAAAAACAAATTCAATAGTCACGCCTAACAAATTTTTGTTTGTTTGTTTTCGATATGAAAAATGTTTAGGTGACAATCAACAAAAACAAACAAAATATCCGTTTCCTGTTTGAAAAATTACGTTTTCTTACTTTGTCGCACGATGAAAAATTGTATTGAGATTTCACAAGAAGACAAATTAATATAAACAATCAATAAAATTACTTTTGTCGTGTCAGCAGATTAAATTTCAGTCGAAATCTTTTACTACTACTCATACTTGCATTTTATTACGTAATTATTATTATTGTTATTATTATTATTTTTGATTTAGATGATAAACAAAATGACGATGATTAAAACTTATCAAGCATATAAAAAAATTATTATTATTATTATCAATCGAAAACGTTACGTTACTTAATAAAAATGTTGAAAAAGTACAAAATATAAATAAGAGAAAATTTTTTTTTTGGTTTTTGTTATTATTATTATTATTATTGTTATTGTTATTGTTATAATAAAAATAAAAAAATGAGACGGAAAAAAAAATGTGACAAAAGGACAATGAAAATTATACTAAAATTTTTTTCTACAAAAACAATCGAAAAAAAAAAAAAAAAGAAAAAATGATTTTAATGATGTTAAATAATAATAATAATAAGTTATTTAATGTTCGTTTAATACAAACGTCGTAAAAAAAAAAAATGCACGGGAAAAATAAAAAAGACATAAATTTATTGGATGACGAAAGCAGATCGCCATTAGTGCGCGTTCATGCTCCCCAAGATGAAGTTGGAATATTTCGAAGGGGTAGCAAAGCTGGATATAAAAATTGGAGATCGAGAAGTATGAGCGCATGGAGTGTTGGAAGCAGAGCAAGTTTTAAACTTGAAGAAAGGTAAGAAATACAACACGCACAAAAAAAAACCGGATGTCCGGATGTTAATGAAACCGGAACATCCTGTATTATAAACTTAGACAAGAACCACGTGCGAGATTTATTATTGTTTAGTTTTAATATTTGTTACACGTTTGCGTGTTTTTTTTTCTAAATTTAAGTTTTACTTTTGCGTGTAAGGAATCATAACAAATTTATTTGCAACAACCAAATTCACGCACGATTACATTTTAATAAAAACAAACAAACAAAAAGAAAATTTTATAAAGTAAAAAAAAAAAAAAAAGTTTTCCGGTTTTAATGTTGTTTCCACCATTAGTAGTAGTAAAAAACTTTCATGACGAAAAAAAAAAAAAAAAAAAAAATTTTCCATTTTCATTTCCGTTTGATTTTATCGCGTGATAATAATAATAATGATGATGATGATGATGATGACAGGTCTTTAAATTACGTTTGGATAAATTCATCAAAATGATAAAAAAAAAAAACGAAGAGTTATCGTATTAATTTGTTGTCAAAGATAATCGAAACGTTTTTTTTATAAAAATGACAAAAAACGGGGAGTTTTTTTTGGAAAAATGAGAGAGGAAGAGGATTTCGAAACAAACAAACAAACGAACAAACAAACAGGAAAATTCAAAAAAAAATTTTTTTTTATTTGGCATCATCGCGAAAGTTTCCTCCTCCGTTGGTGATTTACGGAACTAATTTCTCCAAGTTTGAAGATTCGAGTTCATAAATTTTCCAGTTAGATGGAACGCGCGATTCGATATTTCCAAAAAAAAAAAAAAATTTTTTTTTTTTCAATCAAAATTTTTAACTGGAAAAATATATATATATTTTTTTTTTTATTTTTTATTTTTTTTTTCTATTACGAACGTTATTAAATTTTTCCAGAAAAAAAAAGAAGGAAAAGATATTATTATCGATTTTACAATTTTGTTTTTCTCTCAAAATTTCGGTTTTAAATTAAATATAAAAAAATTTTTTTTTTTTTAGATAAAAGAAAAATAAAAAAAAAAGAATCCCGATGGGTTTCCGAATTTTTTTGGGTTGCCCTTAAAAAAAATATTTAAAAAAAAACAAAATGGCGGATGAAAAAAAATTTCGATTACGTAATAATATTTAATCGGAATTATTTTTTATACCTTGCGTTTGTTATTTTAAAAATAAAATGCTAAAAGTTTTTTTTATTAATTTTGAAAAGGAAAATGACAGTTTAAAACACGTGACATGCACCTCCCTCGACTCACATCGGGGATTCCCAGGGGAGACTGAAGGGTGGAGAGGAGGGGGGGGCAAAAAGTAAACGCATTCGAAAATTTGTTTTTCGTTTTATATTTAATAAAAATAATTAATTTGATTTGAATTACGAAAGAAAAAGGAAAATATTTTATAACGAACGTGGGTATTTTTAGTTTTCCTCTTTGTTTTTTTTTTCTTTTTTTAAATGAAAATTCTGGAGAAAAAAATTATGGAATTTTTGGAAACAATTGAAAAATATTAAAACGATTACGTAAAAGTTTTGTTATTTTATAACAGTCATACAAAGGGTTGAAAAGAATAAAAAAAAAAAAATTAAAACTGGTTTTGAAAGTTTTTTTCTTAAAAAAGTATTTTGTTTTGTGGTACACATTGTACAACAACAACAACAAACTCGTGTTATTGAATACGTTACGTATAATTATATTTCATAGTTTATTTATTAAAATAAATTTTATTGAAATTCTTTCTAAATAAGAAAGAAAAATAGAGAGAGAGAGAGGGAGGGAAACAGAGGAAGACAAAATGGGAGAAAGAGAGAGAGAGAGGGAGAAAAGCAGAGAAAGAAAGAGAGAGAGAGGGGGGAGGAAGAGAAACGAGTAGAAAAAGGGAGAAGACAGAGAAAACAGGAAATGAGAGAGAGAGAGAGAGAGTGAGGGGGGCATAACAAATCTCACATACGAAATCCACAAAATTCCATTTAAAATTTAAATTTAATAAAATAATAATAATAATAATAATAATAATAATAATAATAATAATAATAATAATAATTATAATAATAATAATAATAATAATAATAATAATAATAATAATAATAATAATAATAATAATAATAATAATAATAATAATATTAATAATACCCGGAACTCAAATTTTTGTTATTGTTGCTGTTGTTGATATTTTCCAATATTCTCTAATAAATGATAATTTAATCGGATTTTAATAATAATTAATTAATTAATTAATTATTCGGGAAAAAAGGCTTTTATTAATTAATTTACTTTGAGTTTCGCGTTTGATAAATCGCAAAATTTCAATTGGATTAAAAAAAAAAAAAAAAAACTGAATTCTGATTGGTCGACTGGCAAATCCTTAAAATCCCAGTAAAAAAAAAAACTTAAAATTATATAAGTAAATTTATTTATTTAAAAAAAAATCCATTTACTAAATAATGATAATGTTATCAATGTTAATTATTGAGATTTCGGAAATAAAAAAAAATTTAATAATAATAATAATAATAATAAACTTTTGAAATAAAAAAATTCTTGTTTTTTTTTTTTTTTGTATAGAAAAAAATGCAACGTAGTCGTTTTTTTGTGTTCATTTGTTTGTTTATTTTTTTTTTCGAATTCAATTAATATAATTAAAAATATAAAAATAAAAAAAAGATTTAAAAAGTTTTAACCCCCTCTTCCATTTCCATTTCCAGTTTTTCTTTTTTTTTTTTCTTTCTTTTCTTAACAAATTTTATTATTATTATTATTATTATTTTTTCGATAACATTGAAACGTCATTCATTCATTTACGTTCTGTCATATTGAATATTCTCATATTTTATAATTAGAAATTTTCTTTTATTTTAATAATTTTTAATACGTAAAAAGTTATATAACTAAAATATCATCATTATCATCATCATCATCATCATCATCATTATTATTATTATTAATCGATTTAAATTACGTAATTTAAAAAAAAAAACATTTTGATTAGGTTTTTGAATAAGGAAAATAAAATAAAACAAAAAAGAAAATTTTCAAACATTTACTTTATAATATTAATTATTATTATTATTATTATTATTATTATTATTATTATTATTTCGTTATTTAACTTGAAACTTGTATGTGTGCGTTTGACAAATTAATAATGAGTAAATTTTCCACCTGAAATATATTTTTCAAGGTTTGTTCGAAAATATGAAAAAAAAAAAAAAAAAATTCGTCGTGATGACGACGATGACGACGACGACGTGTTTATCGGAACGTTGATAATAAATTAATTATATTTAAATGAAATAAACCGTTCGTTTCTTTTGATGATGGCGAGCGATGCGTTCGTTCTTAAAAAATTCTAATAATAATAATAAGAACAAATTATTTATTTTTAATAATCGATCTATAAATTCATTCGAAGAAATAATTGAAATACAATTTAGATGGTGATAAAAAATGCGGCGGCGTAAAAGTTGGGGTAGGGATGTTGAAAAAAAATCACGTTTTGGTATAAAATCCTGAGGGAAGTGCGATTGGGGAAATGTGGGCGAGGGGAGAGGAGGGAGGGAGGGAAAGGGGTAAGGTAAATGAAGTGTAAGGTAAAAAAGATCAAAGTAACGTCGGTGAAAAAAGGTTCGTGGAAAAAAAAAAATGAATTAATAAAAAAGAAAAATAAAAAAATGGCGAACCCTTTCGGCTTTAATGTATTTTTTTTTTTTTTTCTTTAAAAGAAACCTGAAATTTTAACGAAAGCTTTTAAAAATTTATACATCTCGTCGAATTATTTACGGTAATATATATTAAAAAAAAAAAAAAAAATTATCACCGTGATTATTACATTAAATTTAAAATAAATGAAATTTTACACCTTTAAAAATAAATTGTTTAAAAAGGGGCTGCTGCTGGCGGTGTTGCTGCTGATGCCACGTCTTTTTATAATGGCGATATGATAAAAAATTTTATTTTTCCACGAGAAAAATATCGGGCAGATAAAATAAGAGCTTATAAATTTTTTTTTCTTCCATCATTTCGAAAAAAATATATATATCAGTGACGTTTTCAGAAATCAGAAATGATATAAAAGTAGAAAAAAAAGGTACAAAGAGGGGGGGAGGAAACTTACATTAAATTAAAACGTTATGAAAGTTAATTTTAAAAAGTTGAGAAAATAAAAGAAGAAGAAGAAGAAGGGAAAAAATTTTTAAGAATAAGAAAAGAATGAGAATAGAATAAAAGAGAAAGAAAAAAGTTAAAAGTTTTTTTTTTTTTTTTTTTTTAAATGTATTAAAAAGAATAAAAATATATCAATCAAACAAAAGGTTTGAAAAAAGAAAAAAAAAAGGAAATGAAAAAGAAGGAAAAACAATTTTTTTTTCAAGTTACAAAAGGTTTTGAGTAAATGGAAAATCTTTTCAATATTAAAACAAACAAACAAATTTTTTTTTCCCCCCGGCTTAATAATAATAATAAGAAGAGGGTGTGGGGGTAATACCTCTGTCATACTAAATAAAAATACTTTTTTTTCTCCTGTTCCTGGCCACCCGTCAGATGTCAGTCACTGGAACTCAGGAGTACAGGAGATAACTCATTTTCATCGAATAAAGTGGTCTCTGTGAGACTTACAAGAATTGTTGTGATGTCATAGGTTTTAACAAAATGAAATCTATTCATCAGGCATGCAGTAGCATCACTGATATTCAGACATTTATTCCTTAGGAATCGTCGGGTAGAAACCTGGAATGAATGTTGAAAAACCTCCGAGAAACATTAAGACGAATTGTCGTGATTATGAATGATAATAATAATAAATAAAATGGAGAAATAGTAGCCTGCAACTTACGATAGCATAGCTCATTCTCAAAAAAAGAAATTCAACGTCGAAAAGGGGAATGGACAATACCTGAAAAAAATGAAGGCTTTAAACATTAATAAGAGAAACACGGATAATTTGTTACGGCTTGGAAAATGAAAAATTTGAAACGGAAGCGTTTTATTCATAGCTTCTCAGGATCCAGTTCCATAAATTACTAATACGAGAATATTTGTCTCAAATATGGAACTGATGGATTACCCAAGGAGTGGTACGACCACATTCTAAGATCGGTTACGACAGCGGGTCCATGCACGGTTCTGAATGATCAACAAATCCACACTGACAGAACTGTACCAGCCAACAAACCTGATATCATCCTGAGGCATAATGTG